AAAAAAAAAAAAAAAAAAAAAAAAAAAAAAAAAAAAAAAAAAAAAAAAAAAAAAAAAAAAAAAAAAAAAAAATTGTGTCCATAGGAATACATTTTTCCTAATCAAAAAATATAAACGTTCCACTTATTAGGCCTTCAATCTTCGAGCAGTCTTTTTTCCAACAGTAGCTCGAGCTCATCCATTGATATTGTCTATTTTTTAAGCAATTCAAAACTTCTAGATCTTAATTCGAGATGAAGATGATATGATCTTTACTCATTAGATGACTGAAGATGTTCGTGTAAAGTGGGATCTACCTGCATTCTCTTCATTCATCAGATTGTCGTTGATAATTAGAATTTTTGGAAGGAAGCTTCCAGAGACGGGCTTATCATCTTCAGAATTTGGTCATACTAAATTGTGATTCTGTACTACTCGAACTCGCCAAATGTAGTAATGAATATACAGAGAGTTAAGGCTCATAGCCATACCAAAACCCAAGATTGCAGACAGCAAAATGGCATATATGGCCTTCAGTTTCAGCTGCAAACAAAGGCCAAAAGAATGTCACTATGATGTACTAAGTTGAGGTTTCTAATCCAAAATGAGAACAATGAAGATTGATATATTCTTGAGTTAAACGTGTTTGAATTTTGCAGCCTTAGTTTCGATGAACCCACCTGAAATATACTCATTAGTGTTACGACTTATTTGGAAGTGATTTTAAAAGAGTTCAAAATCACTTTTTTCACATTCGAAACATGTTTTTCGTCATTCAAGATCAGTTTTGATGGTATGAAATTTGCATCTAAAAGTGTAAAACCGTTATCGTTTTATTATTACACTTTTAAATGCTATTTTCAATATCAAAATTGATTTTGAAGAATTAAATACACGTTTTGGAGCGGTTTTGAACTTGACAAAATGATTATAAGTACTTCAAAATCACTCCCGAACATGTTAGATGGGTCCGTTCGGTTTTCAAAAACAGGGTGGCACTCTTTACAAGGCACTTTGAGATTGGGTTACTTTTCAATGTGAATAAAGAGATCTAACAATAATCAGACTAAAATTGTGCTATGTCTAATGCATCAAGATTTTACTAACCAAGGTATATAATAGATGAAGAATGATAGCTACAAGTGCAAATTCAAGAGCTGCATAAGTCCATATATATTCCTTGATTGCTGCAAAGTTGAGCAGGCAGGAAAACAATGAGAATCATAAATCAGTTTTAAAGGAAATATTTGAAGTATCGTAGAAAACTATACCGAGAATGACCGAGAATATTGACGACATGATACCAAACAACAACGCAAAAGGCGCAGCGTAATTGATCGCCCGAGTCTTCAAGTTGTGAATCTAAAACAAACGAAAACAAGATCGAATAATGTCGGAATCTAAACACAACGTGAAAATATAAAGCTAAGTAGAATACATGTTCCTAAAGAAGTTAAAGTTCGAGGAAGTTTCGTAACAGCCCAAACCCACCGCTAACAGATATTATCTGCTTTGACTCGTTACGTATCGCTGTTAGCCTCACGATTTTAAAACGTGTCTACTAGGGAGAAGTTTTCACACCCTTATAAAAATGTTTCGTTCCCCTCTTAAACTGTAAGGGTGACGGTGATATGTAATGGGCGACGGCGATTCGTAACGGGCCAAAACAGACAATATGGGCTAGCGGTAGACTTGGGTTGTTACAAGTTAAAACAATTTCCTCTTTCTGAGCAAATGGCATACCAGAAGCTGCTGAAGGAAGAAAAAGTAGCATATTGTGCTAATTAAAAGAAGCACCACAAAGTCCTGCCAAGCGCTGAAGCAAATACAGATGTTAAAATACAGTTTCAGATTAGTATGTGAGGCAAAAATCGGAAACGAGAGTGAAATTTTCGAACATCGTCAAAAGTAGAAATGTACACGAAGCGGGACGGGGACGGGGATGCCTTCTCCGTCCTTCCCACCTGTTTCAATCCCTATTCCAGCAAAATTCTCCATTTATTTTCACGGGGATCAAGGAGAAATCTTGTAACAGACCAAACTTATCACTAGCAGATATTGTCCTCTTTGGGCTTCTCCTTAAAGTTTTTAAACGCATTTGCTGGAGAGAATTCCACACTCTTATAAAAAATGTTCCATTCTCATCCAACCTCTCCAACCAATGTGGGATCTCACAATCCATCTCCTAGGGGGTCTAGCGTCCTCGCTGGCACACCGGCTGGTGTCTGACTCTGAAACCATTTGTAATAGTCCAAGACATTGCTAGCAGATATTGTCCTTTTTGAGCTTTCCCTTTAGGGTTTTCCCTCAAGGTTTTAAAACGCGTCTGATAGGAAAAGGTTTCCACACCCTTATAAGGAATGCTTCGTTCCCCTCTCCAACCTCTCCAACTCTTTTGAGTTTCCCCTCAAGGCTAACGCGTATGCTAGGGGGAGATTTCCACACCCTTATAAGGAATGCTTCGTTTCCCTCTCCAACCAATGTGAGATCTTACAATCCACTCCCTTGGGAGCCCACCGTTCTGGCTGACACACAGCTCGGTGTCTAGCTTTGATACCATTTGTAACAGCCCAAGCCTATCGTTAACAGATATTGTCCTGCTTGGGCTTTCACTTTTGGGTTTCCCCCTTGAGGTTTTAAAACGCATCCGTTAGGGAGAGGTTTTCACATCCTTATAAAATATGTTTTGTTCCCCTCTCCAACCAAGGTGAGATCTCACAAATTTTTTTTCGCTCCCATCGTGCCCTGTTTGGAGGAGTCCCCACATGTTAAATAGACATCTCCAGTCAAAAGTGAATAAAAATCCAAGTCACGAGAAACCATTGTAATACCTTATCGTCTGTGAACGGAAAGTCGGTTGATTATGCAACTGTCTTCCGTCCTGTTGTGCAGTGGTCGGAATACGAAGTAGCGTGACAGGTAAATTCTTTACCACCTGCCTACAGACTTCACACTCCTTTTTTCCTCTTATACTAAACCATTTTATTGCACAATCTTTATGTACAAGCCTAAGATCTCCTTTGCAACTACATTCCATTTTGAGAGTGTTTTCTTCTTCACATGGATCATAACATATTCTACAAACAGCTTCCTCTTCAGGAATTTCTTCATCGCCAATCTCTAAGGTAACAGAACCATTTTGATCTGTTACATGGAATAATTAAAGTAAGGTTCAATATACAATCTCCCCGAACGTTCGTGTTATTTTTTCAAATTTTTCACGAATATTTTAAAAGTTTCAGCTCCATTGACCCCTAGATTACCTTAATTTCCTCATTAATTTTATGAAATAGACATATTCGCCTATAAAATTGAAAACTTGCTCATTTTACACAACTTAGACCATAGGTCCGTACCATCTTGGTTGCCCCCAAACGGGTGATTGTGATTAGAAAATGAACCGATTTCAAATGTGATTAGGCTAAATTAATAAAAATACCATTCAACTTTAGGTTTTAAAAATACCCATAAACTTTCAAAAGTTTCAATAATACTAACTTTCAAAAAATAAAAAAAATACCCTTACCGTTAGTTTTAGAGGGAAACGGTTAGTATTTTGTTTCAAAAATACCCATAAACTTTCAAAAGTGTCAATAGTACTCATAAACTTTCAAAAAATCTCAAAAACACCCTAACCGTTAGTTTTGGATGGAAATGGTTAGTATTTTGTTTCAAAAATACCCTCAAACTTTTAATAGTGTTTAAAAAATTGTGAAAAAAAGTTTGATGAATACCTTCCAACTTTTATTAAACAATTCAATTCAACTTTTCTTTTTTTTTTTTATTATTATTTTTTTTAATATCATGAGTACCATATTTAAAAAGATACCCTTTAAAAGTAGCATTAATACCTTTTAACTTTATAAAAAAAATTCAAAAAAATTCTTACTATCAATATATGGACAAAAGCAGTCTATCGACACTTCATAGATTATTTACAAACTTTTTAATGTTACTCTAAAAAGTTCATGAATATTTTTTAAACGTTAAGATATTTTTAAATTAAAAAAAATAAATAAATGTATTTTTGAAGTTCTATTAAAAGTTCAATGATATTTTTGAAGTTTTTAAAATTTTTGTAAGGGTTTTAATGAAGCTTTTGAGAATGTATTTTTAAAAGTTAAAAGGATATTTTTTAGACTATTTTGAACGTTTAAGGGTATTTTTTGAAACAAAGTATTAACGGTTTCCATCGAAAACTAACGGTAAGAATATTTTTTTTTAACTTTTTGAAAGTTTGAAAGTATTTTTTAGACGGTTTTGAAAGTTTAAGGGTACTATTAAACTATTAAAACTTTTGAAAGTTTAGAGGTATTTTTGAGAGAAAGTGCAAAATTTAAGGGTATTTTATTAAAACAAATACATGCAAGATTCATAATTATTAAAGACTGTAAGGACCTAATATATATTATACATAAAATTGCAACCTGTAATAAAACCATGCCTCAGCTTCTATGGGATGTGAAGGGTGGGCATAGAATAAAGCAGTATTTAAACTAGTAATGAAGGAAGGGTACATCTAAACAAGCTAATTATTCACTACCAGAAGAAACAAGAGTGAAAGTGAATTAACAGTAGGGTATAAGGACTTGTACCAGAACTGCTACTGGCCTCTGAATTTGCCATAGGGGAAGCAAAAGATGTAGATCGTATTATAACGATATGTCTACCGGGCATGGATAGAGACCTCGAGACTGCACGTGCTGCTACTTTCTGCAAGAGTTACAAACAAAAGATCAAATTATGGATCTAAATCAAGCAACAAAACATTTCTATGGAGTACTAAAAGTGTAATAGCTTAAGTCCACCGCTAGCACATATTGTCCGCTTTGGCCTGTTACGTATCGCCATCAGTCTCACAGTTTTAAAACGCGTATGCTAGGGAGAGGTTTCTACACCTTTATAAGGAATGTTTTGTTCCCCTCTTCAACTGATGTGGGATCTCACAGTCCACCCTCCTTGGGGGCCTAGCATCCCTGTTGGCACGCTGCTCGGTGTCTGACTTTGATACCATTTGTAATAGCTCAAGCCCACCGCTAGCAGATATTGTCCGTTTTGGCTTGTTACGCATCGTTGTTAGCCTCACAGTTTTAAAACGTGTCTGCTCGAGAGAGGTTTCTACACCCTTGTAAGGAATGTTTAATTCCCCTCTCCAATTGATGTGGGATCTCAAAATCCACCCTTATTGGGGACCCAACGTCCTCACTGGCACACCGCCTAGTGTCTAATTCTGATACTATTTGTAACCGCTCAAGCCCACCACTAGCAGATATTGTCCATTTTGGCTTGTCATGTATCACCGTTAGCCTCACAATTTTAAGACGCGTATGTTAGGAAGAGGTTTCCATACTCTTATAAGGAATGTTTCGTTCTCCTCTCCAACCAACATGGGATCTCACAAAAAGTCTAGCCAGTTTTGAATGATGAAACTTTTAAAAAATGGAAGTTTGTAACACGAGATAACTCACACGTGGAACTGGCTTTTCATTAGTTGTGGCGGGGCGGGGTATGACCGGGGACAAGTTTGAAGCTGGAGTAACTGGGAGGGACAAGGACTTTGTCCACGAAAAGGCTGATGATGCGATAGCCATTACCGGACTCTCAGCAGTTGTACTCGGGTCCGAACTTAGGAGCGAACTCTTCTCACCTTCAGCAGCAATGCCTTTTCTCTTAAAGCTTAAAGCTCTTAAAAAGCTTACAGGAGATAAACCACCATTGTTGGAACCTAGAGATTGCAGTAAACCTTTTATGCCACCCATCGGTCTCGAAGGTACTTGAAGTGAGATATCGGGGCGTCTGCTATGTCGAGTATCTGATATCTGTTCATTAACAGGTTTCACATTCTCAACATCTTCCTGCTTATAACAAACACATACAAATTCAAGTTAGATTCATCGACTATCTAAGATTAAAGCATTGAATTGGCTTAAAGGGCACGCTACCACGTCACGAACTACAAATTCGAAATACTTTTACAGTTTCCCTCACACATCTAGTATATCACTCAACTAATCTCTCCTCCGAGAGACCTAAGTGAGTCATCCCGTAGCAATGGCATCCCACTTTGCCACGCCCCGGGGACGAGAATCAGTCCACGAGGCCGTGATTTTATCTCGAACATTCATCCATTCACCTATTTCAGTTTATTTCAGTTATATAGATATGATTATCAAATAGATTTGCCACTATTCATGTAATAGCCCAAGTCCATTATTATCAAATATTGTCCGCTTCGACCCGTTACGTATCGCTATCAACCTCACAACTTTAAAACATGTCTATTAGAGAAAGGTTTTCACACCCTTATAAAGAATGTTTCGTTCCCTTCCTCAACTGATGTGGGATCTCACATGGTACCAAAGCCAGACACTGGGTGGTATGCGGCGTTGGGCCTCAAGGGGGGTGGATTGTGAGATCCCACATCGGTTGGAGGCGGGAACGAACATTCCTTATAAGGATGGGTGGAAACCTCTCTCTAGTAGACGCGTTTTAAAAATCGTAAGGCTGACGACAACACGTAACAAGCCAAATCGAACAATATCTACTAGTGGTGGGCTTGAGCCGTTTCATTTCTGCAAACGGTTAAGATTTTCTAGATCTAATTTATGATACATAAGCATTGTCTTTAAAATAACAACAGGCTAGAGCAAGAATTTGATACACTGTTCAAGATCTACAAAGTACCAACAGCATCAAGATAAAGAAAACTCCCCCAAAAAAGAGACAACTATAGCCCCATGCTTGGGATACCACAATAATTCATCACAAATTAAGCTGAAAAGAAGAATCTCAGCACTCGCATGAATCAAAATCAACTATCAGTAATTCCTTGTAATAATTGTAAAATACAATCTGGAAGAACTCGGAAGAACACGACATTGTTAATAGAAGAGCTCTAAAACATCAGAGAAATCACTCTTAAAATCAACGAAAAAAAATGATCAAAATACAATAGCTGAAGACGAAGATGAAGAAATCAAGATTTGGAAAATTAAAATAAATAAATAAATAAATAATCTAACCTCTTGAGTAATCTCAGAAATCCCATCCATAAGTGGCTGAACCGACGCCATTTCTGTTAAACTCACAAGAGCTTCAGCAAAAGAAGAACCCGAAAATTTACAGAGAATTCCGAGCGGAAAGAGAGGGAAAATTTGCGGATTTTTTTTTTTAATTATTATGTTTTTTTAGTAATAATATTATATTTGAAGACCGAGAGAAAGACTAACAAAATTCTGTTCGAAGACGGTTGTCTGGGACTCTGACGTGACAGGTGCTTGTCGGAACCTGACTAAGAAAGTGGGCCCAATGGCCCATTTAGTACAATTGAAGCGATCGTGGGCCCATTTCGCCACAAGAGGCCCAGTTACTCATTTCTATGCGTGGGCTCCACACGCTCACATGGTCCTTTTTAAACCGACTTCAATTGACTCGCGTTGACTTGTAAATAAATAGGGAATGTTTTTTTTAATATTATTTTGTTTGAAACACTATTTTAGGAACTTGAGTCAAGGATCCGATACAACTTGAATAGCCTTTACAATTTAACTCAATGTTGCAATCACTGTCTATCACTAATATCGGTTACAAACGTTAAATATTCGTAATTTTCATAATAATCTTAAAAGTATGGTTTGGATTTTAAGTTTGTTTTCAAGTTCGTCGGGTTGATCAAACTAAAAGAACATCAACCCAACCCACGAACCAACAAGACATTTTCGATTTTTAAAAGAAATCCAGTTCAAACCTAAAAAAATCTAACCCATTTCAATAATTTTAGTTCGGTAATGTAAATTGATTGAATTTTCGGGTCATCAAATTTAAATATTAGTACAATAAAAAAAAAAAAATTAATAACTAAATACAATTATTTTTTTTAATCAAATTTGTTAATTATATATAAATTAAATCTTATTTTTAGGAATTTGGACACAAAATTGAAAAATTTAGGATAAGGGAGAATTAAAAAAAAATAATTTATTAGATACTTTTTCAATTTTATGAAATTAATAGAAATAAATTTTAAAAATTTATTAGAACACTTATGAAAATTCATGTTTACGGTTATATATTTCACAAATATCCAACTTTTTAAGAATATTTTAAAGTATTTTTTAATTTTTTTTTTATTATTTTCTTCATCTATATGGGCCAGATTATTTGGGCCTTACAATCTCCAATCCGTAGTTGTTGGGCCTATTTAGAAACGCCGTCCCTAATAAAATCGATAGTCGTCGGTTGAGAACTTGAGGACGGAAAATAACAAATTCTCTCTCTGAAGCCGCTGGACGTCGCCGCTGTTAGCTCCGTAGCTTGAGCTCTCTAAGTACCTCTGAAGCGTCGAGGCATAAACCACTCTTTTTTCTTTTGGAAATTACAATGGATTCCGTTTTATAATCATGTTAATGCGTTTTGTTTTTGGATTCTCAGTTGAAATGAAGTTTCTAGGTTGGTATGTGAAGATTGGGACAGTTTCGGCTTTGATTGGAGCTTCCATGGAAATGTTCATGATCAAAACGGGCTTCTGTGTGAGAACTCTCCTTCTTCTCTTCCTTCTTCCTCAATTCACCATTTTAAATTCTTTTTCTTCACTGTGTTTAGTTGATATGCTTGTTGTAATGGCTTTTTCGTCTTCATTTAGGTCTGTCTTTCGATAAATCTTATAAAATTGATTCGCTACGAGGATCGGAGGTGTTGTTAATAGTTCTTTACAATTTTTTTTATGCTTTATGTCTGCGTAGATGGAAGAAATCTTGCTTTTCAATGAGTATACACTAACGTTAGATTTTTCGTGTTCGAGACCACGAAGTAAATAAGTGGTATTGAGTGGAAACTGTAATGAGCCGCAAGCTTCATGGGAGTTTGTTTTTATAGTTTTGTGGCATATAATATTTGAGGCTGAAGCTTATGCCAAATTCCCAACAGTTGTGGCTGCTGCTATTAATTTAACTGATAGTGATAAAATTTAGTAGAATCCTGGCTGTGATTCCTTCAACTGTTTCATAGCTCTCCTAATGTAGTCTTCATTTGCATCTTATTTTTCTTGTCCAAGTTCCTTATTAAAGCCATCTTCTCTCATTCAAAGAAGCGAAGGTGTCGACAACTTGAGCGCACAACTCAATTGGTTAACACATTGAGTTATCAACCAAAATGTCTAAGGTTTGAATTCCTGCCCACATATTCACCTATAAAATTGAAAACAAAAAAAGCAAAACAAACAAAAAAACAGCACACTAGAGGATTCAGGAGTGTAAAAAAGCAACCAACTGGAGGAACCAAAAGAACACCAAACCAACTGCAAAAGTTATTGCAAAAAACTCGAAAGAGGGAAACTAAAAAGACAACAACAAAGGCAAAAACTAGCAGTCTTCCACTATAGTAAACAATTGGAAAACATTTTTGTAGTTTTATTTAGGGGAGGGGGTTTTCTCTCCGCTGTCCATCCTCTTTTATTTTGATTAATAAATATCATATCGTCTTTTTATCTAAAAAAACAAAAAAGTTAGCAGGCCTAGATGAGCAAAACCACTAGAATCATCTGAAATCTTTCCCACTGAAAAGAGGAGAGCAGAGAAAAGACTTGAACCGCCACAACCCACCAAACAAATAAGCAAAATCAGCAAAGCCAGCTGAGAGTGGGACTCCTCAACTGGACTAGAACACCCATACCAGACCAACCAAGGCCCTGGACAACCTTAAATCTTGAGAGACTACAACACTTTTTTTTTTCTTTTTTTTTAATGGATTCTTAAATATAAGATGGTACTGATTCATTGGTGCATGCACACGTTGAATTTGATTCAATTGTAAACACTGTGAATCAGACTGAGCCTCTTTCTTCGTCCTCCTTTCCATGAGAAAGGAAATCTTTTGTTGCAAGCTGGGGCTGTGCCATCCTTCAGGGCGTTTGTGGCTAAACCTATTGTAATTATTCATTAGGTCTTGTTGGATTGGAGGCCGTTCTTGTAGGCTACCTCCCTTTTTTTGTGGGCTCGTCTTTTTTGTATGCTCTTGTATTCTTTCATTTTTCCTCAATGAATGTTCGGTTATTCATCAAGGAAAAATACTAGTTTTTTTAACAAGAAAGAAAGTACTACTTATGAGTAATATGGAAGTGCTGGTTCAATTGCGCTCTTTTCAAGTCAGTTTCTTGTTTGATGGCCTGTTGATTGGTATATGATGCTGTCTTTATTTTGCCTTTGCATCTTCAGATGATAAAGTAACAGTTTTGGAATCGGAGAAGATAGCTTGGGAAAACTCGCCTGAGGCTCAAGCAATTAGAGAAGCCCTTAATCCTTGGAGGAATCACGATGCTGCTGAAGAGGCCAGGAAAGACACCTAATGCTTCAACTGTTGACCAGAGTAGCTGCTTTGCAAGGTTTGTTCATCATTCCATCCTTATAATCAGCCTAACTGAGGTTGAAATAATTTTTTGTTTTTTTTCCCCACCCAAAATGGATGTCTAACATACTGTTTAAAAATTTAAAAACTGAGGATGAGATCGGCTTTTAGAAAATTCAACTGCTTGACAAAAGCTTTAGAAATCAAACGGAATGCACTGAAACCAACCAAAACCCGAAAATATACTGATTAGATTTCTGCTTTACACCTTAGAAAACCAACATTACTTGAACGATGGAACCCACCGATGGTTAGAAATCACAACCCTCCACAATGGTATGATATTATCCACTTTGAGCATAAGCTCTCATGAATTTGCTTTTGGTTTCCTCAAAAGGCCTCATACCAATTGAGATGTAGTCCTTACTTATAAATTCATGATCATCCCCTTAATTAGCCGATATGGGACTCCTCTCCCAACAATCCCCCTCTGAAATAGAGTACACCATAAAGCCTCCCCTTAGGCCTATGGAGCCCTCAAACAGCCTCCCCTTAATCGAGGCTCGACTCCTTCTCTGGAGCCTTCGAACAAAGTACATCATTTGTTTGACACTTGAGTCACTTTTGACTACACCTTCAAGACTCACAATTTTTCTGTTCGACATTTGAGGATTCTATTGGCATGGCGGTTCAATTAGTTTTTTTTTTTCTCAGTTCTAAGGCCCCTATGCCTTGACTCGATATTCGAGTGAACTTGTTTGATTGCCTGGTTTCCTATACAGAAAAACCACGAACTTTTTAAAACAAACAACAGTGCCAGTGTTGTAGCAGGAAATTCAAAATGTACGGGTCAAGATTCAAAGTGGGATCGACAATGTTGGAGTTTGATTTTGGAACTTTTCCCCTCTTTTTTTTATAGAAAACTTAGGATCCAGGAGTAAATGTGTGAGAAGTTAGTGCAAACTTATTCAATTAATTTTCATTAGTCATTTTTGACTTATTAGAAATGAATGTTAGTTGCACTTATGGCTTGTAATTAGGAAAGATGTTAGTTGCACTTATGGTCCATAGGTCGGTCTAGTGATCATTGGACGAAGTAACGGAAGCAAGATGATTATAAAAAAATGAGATCAAATCCCATAAACATACCTAAGATATCGCAAACAAGTGAGTTTTTTTATCACCAAATATTTCTAGGTCAGGGTGTCAATTTACACAGTTTAGTTCAAATTCTCACAAATTTTTTATTATCAAATAAAATGCTAAATAACTGTCGCATTTGAAACAACAACTCTAACCCATCAAAACTTTTTAATGGAACCAACTCTATGAAGGAAAATAACTGTTAAATTTTGCGTCTTATAAGATTAGTCAAGATGCATGTAACTAGCTTTAAGAATCATAAAAAAAAAAAAATCCGTGACATTTGAAAACAAAAACTACCCGTTATAGCTTTCTGGTTGAACAAAATTTCAAGAGGAAAATATCCCTTAAATTCTTGCACATGATGAAGAAGCTTGATTTTGATGAAAGTCAAATATTTCTCCCAACTCTCTTCTTACCAAACGAAGACTTTGACCTTGTTGATCCATAATACCCTAGCACTTTAGCCTGCATCCACATAAAAGACTATCCCAAGAACAACCGAATCACTGTAACACTGCCTCCAAAACTTTTCTAATGAATGAACAAGAAAGAACAAATTGTGGCTTTAGGATATTCGAACTTCAAACAAACATACTTATAATGATCCTACCATTGTTTTTAAGACATGAACCGACACTCTGTTCGTTTACATCGGTATACAAGAACTCTCTT